TTGTGGCAGGTGCCTGTGGTCCCAGCAACTTGGGAGGCGGAGGCAGGAGACTCACTTCAGCCCAGAAGTTAGAGGTTGCTGTGAGCTGTGATGCCATTGCACTCTACCCAGGGGGACAGTCTGAGGGTCTGTCTTAAAAAAAAAAAAAAAGAACAAGACTACTAAAAATTGAAAAATTATCTGGGCATTATGGTCCCAGGTCCCTCAACCCTCCTGAGTAGGCTGAGGCAAGAGGACTGCTTAAACTCTGCTAGGCTGACACTTCAGCACCCCAGCCTGGGCAACACAGTGAGACTCTGTCTCAAAAAAAAAAGAAAAAGAAAAAGAAAACAAAACAAAATGTATCTTAACACTCAGTACAGTACCTGCTTGTAAAATACAAAGTACATCTGCAGCTTCCTCCAAATAGACTGGACTCTCAAAGAGCTCAGAAGATTTTAAAAAAAATTCTCCATTGGACTCAGACACCTTAAAAAAAGAAAAAAAGACATGAACTCTGTTAATCTCAGGTAATGAATTAAAGCTTATTATTCATACATTTGTTAAGATCACAGATCATGTCTCTCAGTGTGTCACTAATACACTACAACAGAATATGCAGTATTTTTTTTCCTGTCTTTTTTATTTTTATTTTTTAGAGACAGAGTCTCACTCTCTTGCCCAGGCTAGAGTGCCAAGGTACAAATGGGCACAAGTGATCCTCCTGCCTCAGCCTCCCGAGTAGCTGGGATTATAGGTGTCTGCTATAACACCCAGCTAATTTTTTTTATTTTTAGTAAAGACCAAGTCTCACTCTTGCTCAGGCTGGTCTAGAACATCTGAGCTCAAAGGATCCTCCCACTTTAGCCTCCCAAAGTGTTAAGATTACAGGTGTGGCCTGGTGTGGTGGCTCACACCTAAAATCATAGCACTCTAGGAGGCTGAGGCCGGTGAACTGCCTGAGGTCACGAGTTTGAGATCAGCCTTAGCCAGAGCAAGACTTCATCTCTAAAAATAGCCAGGTGGCAGGTGCCTGTAGTCCCAGACTTGGGAGGCTGAGGCAAGAGAATCAGTTGAGACCAAGAATTTGAGGTTGCTGTGAGCAGTGACACGCCACCCCACTCTACCGAGGGCAACAAAGTAAGACTCTGTCTTAAAAAAAAAAGATTACAGGCATGAGCCACTGCACCCAGCCCAGAATATGCAGTATTTGGTCTATTTCAACCAACTTAACAATAAACAGAGTTACATTATTATTCAGATATGGCAGTATCAGTCTCAAGAATTGATTTCTAGGCTCGGCGCCTGTGGCTCAAGCGGCTAAGGCGCCAGCCACGTACACCTAAGGTGGCGGGTTCGAATCCCCAGCCCGGGCCCGCCAAACAACAATGATGGCTGCAACCAAAAAAT